CGTTCAATTAGTTAAGTGTTGTGCAATAATTAATTAGCTTGTTAGTTAGTTAATTAGTTAATTTGTATTATTCTTTTGGTCCCTCCGTCGAGAGGGCGTAATTGTTGTAATAAGCGTGCGTGTGTGTGATGCATGTCTTCCAACCCCCATTTCTTTCTCCCCTTTACTTAACCGCTTACGATGGTTAGTTTTAGGGCATATTTAATTTAGCATCCTTATGCTCGCATGTTTGCATCCATTCATCTGTATTGCATGCACAGGCTCGGCGCATCATACTAACTGCATTGTATTTCAGTCCCTTTTCTGTGACACTTTTGAAAACTGTGCCAACTTCTGTGACTCACTTTGCAAACCCTAACCTTACTCCCTCACTCTTCTCTCTAACCCTTTTCTGAGAGACCACTGTCATTGCTCAACAAATTGATGAATCTTTAATTCAAATCGACAAACATCAAGATCTCTACGAATTCAACAACTCCTGTAATTCTACGACCCTGAATTTAGTCGATTTTGTGTGTTATATGTGTGTTCTCATTGATGGTTACCATGAGAGCTGACAAGAAATGGCTCTTCGCTAAATTTTCCGCCATATTCGTCTTTCTCATGCTATTTCTCTCCTTGATCTCTGGCTTCAGTGCCTCATTCTACACCTATAGCTTCCATCACCACTTTGCTTCTACCATTCACTGCAGCTCCGGTTACCCTCTGGTGTTCGCTTACTACATCTCCAGTGGCGACGGAGACATAATATTTTGGTTGTTACTGCCGGTGAAAGAGAGGAAGATGAAGGTTACTACGTTTCAGAAATAAAGAGAGGAGAGAGAGAGAGAGAGAGAGAGAGAGAGAGATGAGCGTTTGAGCGAGTGGAGAGGGTTTTTTAAAAAGGGTTGAGAGACTTAAAAGTTATGTTCTAATAGTACATGTGTTTTTGCTTTGTTTTTTTGTATGACATTCTCAATACATTAATACTAGCCTATCACCCGTGCTATACACGGGATAATTATAAATATTTATATTTGTTTTAAATTTTTTTTAATATATAAATTATGTTTTTTAAGATTTTTTATAAAAATAATTTAACAATCTTATCACTAACCATGGTGTATATGAGAAATTAAAAAGGCTACCACAGTAACTATGCACAGATTGTATCTATAATTATTTATATGAGAAGATTTTAAATGCTGATTAGGGATTTTGACCAAATCAATAAATGCAGGTATGTGGAAAGACATGTGGATTGAAAAAAAGTTAATAAATGTTGATCAGGAGATTTTGACCAAATCAATAAATGCTGAGTTTTTTTTTAGAAATTAAATGTTTTCTTTTTTTATTATATTATATTAAAGTTTAATATTTTGATAATAATCATATGTGTTAGACTTTTCAAGAAATTAAATGTTTTCTTTTTTTATTATATTATATTAAAGTTTAATATTTTGATAATAATCATATGTGTTGGACTTTTCAATGAATTAAATGTCTTTTTTTATTATATTATATTAAAATTTAATATTTTGATAATAATCATGCGTGTTGGACTTTTCAATAATTTTTTTTATACTTGTTCTTAATACATTAAATTGTTATTATGAGAGATAATAATCATATGTGTTTAGACTTTTCAAAGAATTCATATGTGTTGGATTTCAAAAAAAAAAAAAAATTTATACTTGTTCTTAATGCATTAAAGTTTTATTATGAGGGTAAGACTTGGGAGTTGGAAGAAGTTAATAAAAGCTAAGATTTTTATTTTTTTTTAAATCAAAAAATCAAGAAATTTAGATTGGGGGATTGGAGCTCCCACAAGGCTTGGGGTTAAAAACTCCATTTTGCTTAATATATAGTACTAGCGTATCACTCGTGCTATGCACGGGATAATTATAGATATTTATATATTTTTTAATTTTTTTTAATATATAAATTATGTTTTTTAAGATTTTTTATAAAAATAATTTAACAATCTTATCACTAACCATTGTTAGACTTTTCAAGAAATTAAATGTTTTCTTTTTTTATTATATTATATTAAAGTTTAATATTTTGATAATAATCATATGTGTTAGACTTTTCAAGAAATTAAATGTTTTCTTTTTTTATTATATTATATTAAAGTTTAATATTTTGATAATAATCATATGTGTTAGACTTTTCAAGAAATTAAATGTTTTCTTTTTTTATTATATTATATTAAAGTTTAATATTTTGATAATAATCATATGTGTTAGACTTTTCAAGAAATTAAATGTTTTCTTTTTTTATTATATTATATTAAAGTTTAATATTTTGATAATAATCATATGTGTTAGACTTTTCAAGAAATTAAATGTTTTCTTTTTTTATTATATTATATTAAAGTTTAATATTTTGATAATAATCATATGTGTTGGACTTTTCAAGAAATTTTTTTTATACTTGTTCTTAATACATTAAAGTGTTATTATGAGGGATAATAATCATATGTGTTGGGACTTTTCAAGAAATTTATATGTGTTGGATATTAAAGATTTTTTTTATACTTGTTCTTAATGTATTAAAGTGTTATTATGAGGGTAAGACTTAGGGGTTGAGAGAAGTTAACAAATGCTAAGGTTGTTTTTTTTTTAAATCAAAAAATCAAAAAATTTAGATTAAGAGATTGAAACTCTCACAAGCCTTGGGTTAAAAATTCTATTTTACTTAATATATAGTATAGATAGATAGATTATTAGTGATTTTTTTTATTGGTATGAACATTGTTGGGTTTTTTTTAGATGGAACGTTGCCACCTCACACGGGCTAATTGGGGCACCAGATTTTGTGTACGTAAAATATTATTCTAATGTAAATCCCACCATGTGTCTCATGTATGCGGAGTGATGCAAATAGTGATATATGCGGAGTGATGCAAATAGTGATAAATCATCAATGACAAGTTGGGCTAATTGAAATTCTCTGCAATAAGAATATTTTATTTAGGACAAAATCAAATAATAAAAAAGTAAGCCTCCGTTTGGGAAGTGGGTTGGCTTTTTAAATTTTGATTTTTTGGCTATTTTAGCCTAAGCTATTTTAGCCTAGTTTGGGAAGAGTTTTTTGACTTTTTGACTTTTTTGACTTTTTTGTGATAGAGGATTGTAATGATTATGGGTTGGATTTGATGTTTTGTTTTTTGTAGCTAAAATAGCCTATTTTGTTTTTTGTGGCTATTTTAGCCAAAAAAGCCTGGCTTTTTTCTTCCCAAACGGAGCCTAAGAAAAGTTAGTGAAGAGAGAAAAGACAAGTGTAAGGGGTGACTTTTTTACTAAAGTTGGTAAAAAGTTGGTTTTTGACTTTTTATTAAGTTTTTTGACTTTTTTAATAGTGATTTGGAAAGTTGGTAAAAAGTTGACTTTTTTACTTTTTGATTTAATATTTTTTAAAAGTGTCACATCACTACAAAATCACCAAAGAAATTTACCTAAGCTGAGGCTAGTTTTGTAATTAGCCAAGCTGCGTTTTGGGAAGTTGCCAAATGGCGTTTTCAGCTTTTTGCACACTGCTGCGTTTTGTTTCCGGATAAAAAAACGCAACGTTTTTTAAGAGTTTCCAAAACAGCACTAAATAGAGGAAAACGCTACTATACATATCTCTTAAAAGTTATGTCATTTTCTTATTTATGACTTATATAATTTTTAGTTATGACTCATGTGGTATTTAGTTATGATTTTTTATTTTTATTTTCAGTCATGCTACGTAGCTTGAAAGCTACGTAACTCTAATCCCCCTAATCGAAAATGTTGTCGTTTTTCTATTTTTTTTTTTTCAGAAGCAGAAATCAGGAGGAAGAAGGAGAGGAGAGGAGAGGAGGAGGAGGAAGGAGGAGGAGGAGGAGGAGGAGGCGGGGCCGGAGGCGGAGACGGCGGCCGGAGCTGGAGCTGGAGCTGTTGTTGCGACGAGCTGGCGGCGAGGCGATGACGACGGGCCGGAGCTGTGACGACGGCGGAGAGCTGCGACGACCACCAGCTGCTCCTCTTCCCCTTTTCTTCTCTCTCTCTCTCTCCCTCTCCCTCTTCCCCTCTTCTTCTCAGATCAGTTTCAGATCGAAAATGGAAGAAAAAAAAGAAAAAAAGAAAAAAGAAAACCTAATGCCCAAAACGACGTCGTTTTGGGCATTAGGGGGATTCGAGGGGCAAAATCCTCGAGCTACCAAACATTATTCTTTTATTTTTATAGTTATAACACAAAAGGTATATTATGTTATTTTCTTCTTTAATTATAAAGTACATATGGCATATAACTCTCAAAGGGTGTGTACCATAATCTTTCCAGTAAATATAATCATTTGGACAAATTTTAAAAAGCAATTAGAATTAATTGCATCAAGACTATATAACTATTAACGAATATTAATTTACTTTCCTTATATACGAATTTAGGCACTTTAACTATTTTAATTAGAAATGTATCATTTTGATCCCCTTTAGATCACATTCAAACGGGAAGCATTTGCATAGTTTTTATAATTGAGGAACTAATATACACAAATTCATAAATAAGGGTCTACCATGATATTTTAATAGTTAGGACATTGTTCTATAAATTTAAAAATTAAATTAAAATTTTAATTCAATAATATAATAATTAATTAAAATATTTAAGGTAATACACTTTTTCATATTTTTCAATTATCAATCAATTATATCACTTGCACATCATTAAATTTAAAAAATAGACTTGTATATCATTTAATAGCTCTTCATATAATTAATCAATACAAAAATGCTAGCGGCTCCAAAAATTATACAAAAAGTTTTATCAAATATCTCTCATGGGTCTATGGGAGACATTTGGTAAAATTTTTGATAGAATATTTAGGATCTCTAGTATTACTCTAATAAAAAATACTACTAACAAAGTTGACCATTCTTATACACGTGGCATGTAACTACGTCCATTTCACACACTTTCATAACCGCGGTGTCACTCAATCCCTCCTCCGATTCCGAAAGACGCTACACTGGTGCCACGTGCCATGACTTCTTTTGTAACTGACACCTATCTCCGTTTCGAGAGAGAGAGAGAGAGAGAGAAGAGTGCATTCTAGGGCTTTGATATTCGGATTCTAGGGTTTCTTTTCCAACCAGAGCCAGACCTGATTCTATTCCTATTCTTCCCCCAATCGGTGGTCACGATTCGATGCTCATCGTCCCCCCCACGTTCCAACCGTTCGATCGATTCATTTCTCGCTGAATTTGATCGCAATTCGCAATTCCCACATTTCGCGATTCTATTGTCTCTTGATCTTCCTAAATTCTATTTGTTAGGGCTTCTCACTCGACGTCTCGGCCATGTTCTACCTGTTCGATCGATTCATTTCTTGCTAAATATGGTTGCAATTCGCAATACCAACCTTTTGCGATTCGATTGTCTTCTGATCTTCCTAAAATTCGATTTGTTAGGGCTTCTCACTTGATCACGAGTCGATGCTCATCGTCTCCGTTACGTTCTAACCGTTCGATTGATGCATTTCTGTCTGGAATATGGTAGCAATTCGCAATCCCTACATTTCTCGATTTGATTGTCTTCTGATCTTTCGAAATTCGATTTGTTAGTGCTTCTCACGCTATGGTATAACCAAAAGTGGTGGAATTTGAAGGGATGTGAAAATCTGGTATTTGTTCGATTGTTGTGAATATAGAGTGAGTTGATTTGGGGATTTGTGAAGAGTTAGGTTTGTTCTGACTGTGAATTTGTGATTGTTTGGATTGAAATTTGAGGTATTATGTATATAGAGGAATTGAAGGGGAGAGAGGAGTTGGAAAGTGATGAAGAGGAGATAGGATATGGTAATGAGGTGGTGAGAGGCAGCACTGTGGTGTTGGATGTGAAGAAGGTTTTGGTTGGAGCAGGGGCTCGTGCACTGTTTTACCCTACGCTTCTGTACAATGTTGTGCGAAATAAGGTTCAGGTTGAGTTTCGGTGGTGGGACTGGATTGATGAGGTATAATTGTATTTGCAAATCGTTGGCTTTAACTTGTGTTATTCTTTATTGCTTGTGTTTCATTTTGTTCATGTAATGTTTGGCATGTTCTTGCTGTTAATGATCTACCTTTGTGCAATTGGTTTGTTTTTCCTTGGATTTTGTTTTAGAATAATTCTATAGATAGTAACACTCTTACTAAAAATCTTATTAAAAATACAAAAGGCCAAATATGATTGTTTGTCAAAAAAGTAATAATATTTGGACATATAATGATGTTTGGACACATAGTTTAGTATGATTTTTAGTAAAAATTTTAGTACATGTAGCATTGCTCTTTTTTGTAGGGTTGCTCTTCCAAAAGGAAAAATTATAATTGTCTGGTGATTATAAGGAGATGTGCACTTTATGGGCTCTTTGAACTTTAATATTTGTACATTTTAAATTTATTTTACTTATATCCAAATTATGTGCCCATTTTCAGTTTGTACTATTAGGTGCTGTCCCATTTCCATCTGATGTTGAACGGCTGAAGGAGCGTGGTGTTTGTGGAGTGATCACCTTAAATGAGCCCTATGAGACTTTGGTTCCAACATCTTTATATCTAGTGAGTTGTTTTAATTTTCATATGCATTTGTTTTTGCTGCTTGGCATAGTTTGTTCTCTATAAAGCATGTGTTCCAAAAAAATTATTTATATGTGGGCTTAATGGTTACTTATTTTTCTTCAATTTTTTCTTCTCTTTTTTTTCCTTTTTTTTTTTTGGGGATGTGTTATCCGTGGGCTATTAGAGAATTGACAAATGTAACCGTGTGGATTATTGTAAAGGCGTGCAATAATAACCAATGCTAATTTAGTGTCACCTTTTTGGAGGAGTGATAACCAAATGTTTGATACTTCTAATAAGTTACCTTGTTACGTTTCATTTTCATTATTAAGATAGAAAGTTGCTCTTGTTCTACTGTGATATCATAATGCATCCTGGTTCTGATATTGTTATGTATCCCAATTGCCTCTCTTCTATAAATGTGTTCCTCTTTATTTATTTATTTATTTATTATTGGCTGCGTGCTGCCTCATGCATCCATGTGTAAAGATAGTTGTAAGAATAATCATGTTTTGGTGGATGACGTCTTATGTAAGACCAGTCATTTATTATACTTGCTACCTCTATTTTTAAAAAAATAAAAATTGCTACCACTCACTTAACATTTGTGCAGATTTTGTGGAATTGACAAATTGTATAGTTAGGCCAATTGTTTTGTTGGACAAATTAAAATTAATGCTTGTGCTTTTGATGTGAATCGTTTTACTGGAGTTGTAGTTACCCTTTTTTTTTTAATCTATTTTTCTTTTAAAATAGTCCTGACTCAAAGCTAGAACCAATTCTTTAGTGCATAGTGCACTTCGTCAACAGATTATGTTATCGCTCATATGATATCTATTTAAAAATTAAGGATAAACTATCAATATGTCCTAATAGTTGGACTTAATTCCCATCAAGTCCTATTGAAAATAAGTTCTAGTAAATCGTCGCTAAAAATAATTTTTTGTAACGATTTTTTGCATATATCTCTAAAAATTGACAACTAGTGATTTTTTTTTTTTCTTTTTGTCACAGTTTTTATAAATTATCGCTAAAACTTACAATTAGTGATGTTTTTCTGTGACGAATTTTTCAAAAAGTAGTTGAAAATTAAAAATTAGTGACGCTTTTTTAATGTCTCTAAAACTTATAATTAGTGACATTTTTTGTGATAATTTTCAAATTGTCACTGAAAATTAACAATTAGTAATGTTTTTTAATAGTGTTTGATGAAAAACGTCATTAATTATCATAAGACCTATTAGACAATAAGTCCATCTATTAAGACCTATATGTAAGTTCCCCTTTAATTAATTACTACTTGACCAAATATTTGGACAACCAAGGTCATGTACAAATTGGTCCAGAAAAATTTCTGTCCCTGGCTTTAGCAGGTGAGTTATTTCTTTCATGTACGACTTTCATTTTGTATTCTTTTAGTTGCCAGTTCTTGTTAAATGTTTCTTCAAAATAAAAGCTATATTTTCTACTGTTTGGAGTTGATTATTCATCTAAAAATCATATCTGGTATTTGGCTTGCGTATTCAGTTTGGTTAAGCTTACAATGACGTGAATACAAAGTAATTAGAATATAATTGAAACTTGTATGTTGGATCCTTGAATATTCCTGATCTGTTTGGATGGGATTATGGGAGCTTTACTAGATCAGTCTAAATGTTTAAGCACAAGAGAGAAATTATATAGAGATTTGTGTAATATTGTTCTGTATGTTGTTATAACTTCATGATTATTAACATCCTTCAGCAGTTTTTGAGTATTATGTAAATTTTTTACTATGTTCTTCCATTTGTTTATAGTTGTTAATTTGTGGCAGGCTCATGGCATTGATCATTTGGTGCTCCCGACAAGAGACTACCTCTTTGCTCCATCACTGAGTGATATATGTCAAGCTGTAGACTTCATTCATGGTAAGTATTGTTCACTGGTGCTAATGTAAACCAAAACCAAACCAAACTAAGCCTTCAGTCCCATCAAATGGGGTCGGCTACATGAATCCTTCTTCTCCGTGCGGCCCTATCAAAGGCCATTTCATTAGTCAAATGGCCATTTCACTGGTGCTAATGTATCAGACAAAAAATATGTGGTCCCCTAAAAATACTATTCATCTCAAGCAAACCTTAAACTTCCTTATTTTAATATTCAAACAGCAACTTTGGTACTGTGAAGCAACTTGGTATCACCAGTTATGCAATGCCTGAGTCACTAAAATATATTAGTTTTCTAGAAGGGAAATTTTTTATATCCTAGTGCTTGGTCCTTTATCTGCTTTCTCTTCTGTGAAAGGAAATAGGGTGGTCAATGAAGCCTAAGGCATATATGTCCCCTAGAAATGCAGTTTGTTAAGATTTTTGCTCTGTCTGTGTTGATTCTAAGTTTCTAACAATGTTTTGTATGCATTGACTTTAACAATGGACACCTGATAAAATAAAACAGAACAGTAGACACCTGATTTATATGCAATGTTGGTAAACTTTCATTGGGAATAGAGGATGAGAATCTGAAAATAATTTGAGCAATATAATCTGTTTGTTCAATAAACTGATTGAGAATGTTTTGCAATTTAGGGGAAGTTATCAGTTCTGATGACAAAATAAATTGATCGTGTTCTGTAATTGCATTGATTACATGTCAAGTGGAATTGTTCTGGGGTTGGATAGATTCATAATAAGATGGTTCAGTCACATGTGGCATTTTTGGTACAGATTCAAGTTCTGTTCAAAGTATTCAATTATTATTTGAACTGAGAAATCCTAATTTTCTAGCATTTTGCTATTAAATTTCAGCATATGAGCAACACTTTCTGTTTTCCTAAATAATCCTTCTTATGTCCTGAAGAAAATGCATCATGCGGGCGATCTACGTATGTGCATTGTAAAGCTGGTCGGGGACGCAGCACAACCATCGTTATATGTTATCTGGTGAGTGCCAATTCAAGAAATGCTTGAAATCAACGAAGATGGAAGATATTTCTCCTTTCTAAAGCTTTCTTTGTGTTGTTTAGGTGCAACACAAGCAGATGATGCCTGAGGCTGCATACAGTTATGTGAAATCAATTCGGCCCAGAGTACTCTTAGCCCCTTCCCAGTGGCAGGTATGTTGGGTTAACCTGGCTAGGGTTTGCATCCTTTGTTTGGATACAATTTTTTAAAGTGCATGAAATGGAGCAGTTCCTTAATGCATTGTTGTACTTGGTGAACTGTTGTACTGACGATATCAAATTGAACCATTTCTTCACAGAGGTAAAACCGCTGTAGAACCATAGATTAGTTGTGATAGCTAGAGCCATGTATTGAGTGGCTTCTGGATTTTTGCTATGGCACATAACATTTTGGTAGATTTGGTTACTCAAAAAATTTACGGTTAACTTTTTTACCATACTATGAGCTATTGTGTTGGTCACTGATTGCAGGCTGTTCTGGATTACTACCATCTCAAAGTGAATCCGGCCTGTAAACCAAGCCACATGATAACCAGTCTAATACTGAAAAGTCCAAAATTCTTCGCTGCACGAGATCTCGTGGCATTTGATGATGGCTCTGTGGTCATGGTAACAGAAGAGGATTTGGATGGCTACGATCCAAGCCATGATTCTTGTGCTATAAGAAGCAAGATTTGGACAGATTTAAATGTAGTCTGCAGGATTCGAGTTGCTGGTCAGTCGGCTTTGGCAAGACTATCTTGTATGTGGCTTCGCTGCCAAACCCAGCAGAAGATTTCAAGCGAGAACATGCATATGGAGAGCAGCTGCCCAATTAGGTCTAATCAATTGGGAGTTCTTAGTGTAGACATTCATGTCTACTGAGATGTGCTTCTGATTTCCTTCTGTAATGTTTGTCCTTTAATTCCAATTTCGTATGTGTAAAGGTGAATAGCTCTTTATTTTCATTTGTTTTGTCTGTTGACTTTCCGGTGTATATATTGTGGACGAGAAAATAAGGTTCTATTTAGTTGTATTCTCAAAATACAATTTCACTATATCATTCGCGCTTCACGTTTATTTAGGAGTTTCAAATCATAATTCCACTCACTTTTGCAAACTCGGTTGAAGGCGGGAAAATATAGATTAACCGGTCGTCCAGCCGGTTGACCGGAACAGTGTAAATATATATATATATATATATGTATTTTTTTTTGTAATTGACATGTGTTAATTTTTATATATTTGAAAAAAATATTTTTCAAATTTTTTAAAAAAAATTATGTGTTTTAATAGAATTTTGAGTTGTATATTTGGTTATGGGTTGTAAGTTTTTATATCAAATATTATGTCACATCAAAAAATTCACTCAATTAAAAAATCTTCAAAATTCTTTTTAAAATTCTTTTATTAAATAAATTTTTCATACTCAAATCATAATTTTAAAACTCACGTACTCAATAAAATTTTTATTCTCAAATCACATTTAAAAAGTTCTACTAAACACACATGCTACTTGGTTTTTCTATGTTTATTTGTCCATGCAATTTATTTGGTACAAATTTTCATTAAAATGGAAACAACTAATGTTTTACTTCTTCTCATCTTGTGATGAGTGCATTGGGAGATTTGAAAAGATTTAAAAAAGAAAAGGAAAAGATTCATATTTTACTTAGTTTAATACACTCTTTTTCTTTTTTATTTCTAAATTCCTTCTTAAATCTCCACATTTTAATCATTCTTTGCAACACATTCATATACAATCATTTCAAGTTTATTTTACAAATGTGTCCTTCGGGCATTCATTGACAAAATACATACAACACCTAGAATATATTTGTCCTCACAAATGCAGCTTATTTTACAAGTGTCCTTCGGGCATTCATTGACTAAATACATTCAACACCAAGAATGTATTGTCCTCACAAATGCAGACCAACTGCTGAGATATTGCAGGACCAAACATGAACATACAAATACTGCACAATTCAATATGCTTAGTGGTTCCAAATTAAATAATTAAATTGATTTTTAGCCGAAGCTTAATCAACGGTGTAGATGACTGTCATCTGCAAACCCAATTAGTTCTCCAATGAGGCTCATGATTGATACTGGCCAAGTATAAGGATATCATTCTTGAACTATCATTTCGGCAGATGATTCATCACTTTTCTGATGAATAACTTGCATTTCCTTGCGAGACTGCCTTTTAATGCTGTACTTTTCTGATGATTCATCCTCCAAGTAAGGAACAACATATTTTTTTGTATCATCATTTGAGATTCCAAGGTGCCTTCCATGCACACTGATATACTTGACCCTCCCAGCATCTTCCAAGGTTTTCAAACCGATCCAATCCTCTATATGAAGTGTAGTCTGCACGGACCAAAAATAGTGAAAATAAAGGGAAAAAAAAGAATATTTGCAAAGCTGAGAATTGTGGACCTTTTATTTTTCCATCTATAGAAACCCAAAACGCAAAATGTTTTTAACATGTCGTGATAGGTTTTACTAGCACAGGTTAATTCCTAAACTAGTCCAGAGTCACAGAGAATCCAAATCCCAAGGGGAGTCCCTCATGGATTCATTCAATCATCCATAAACATTAAACATACGATCAAACTCAAGATTTTTGGTTCCCAAGCCACAGCCTCAACCAACACATCAGCTCCTGTGATTGTCATATTTACATGGAGTTTAAACAATCCCAAGGAGACGATTAAGAAAAAAGGTGCAAGATGAGTATAATTATAAACTTAACAAGACTCTGTCTCAGTTGCTTGGGATTGGCTACATTGATTTATTTCCTCCAATTATTCTATATGCAATCATATCCGTAGTTAAATTTAAGATAATCATGTCCTTCCTCATCACCTCAACCCTAGCCCACAATTAAGTAACAATGCTTTGAACCATTTAGCATCTGATTTGAACAATTTCTACTGGTGCCTTTTGGCAACCTTGATGCCAATGCCTAGCAAGAACTGAAATAAACTAAAAGTTCAAACTTTTTTAGTTCATAGAGTAACAAGGAAACATGCAGTATCAAACCATATATGCTTGACGGTAATCTATGGTCTGGCAGTGTCCAACAGTTGTTCATTTATTCACAAGCTTTCTTTTTCCAAAGTGCATAACAGAGATGACTAAATTGTGAATCGTGTGCTGTTATCCAGGATGATGACAATGTACCCATGAAAGCAAGAGACATAATATAAAGAATGGATCATTAGCTAAATGTATGAACCTGAAGGAGTTAACAAATGATGGCTGATGAGATATCACTAGTGTGTAGAACATTGGATATTAGGCATTTGCATAGTTTCCCTTGCTGTCTAAACTTTTTGGTCATTTACAAGAAATCCGATATTTCATAGCTTTGGGAAATAACTAAAAAATTAATGGGGGATTTGGTCAAAATCCCTTCATAATAAAATTTTAATGCATTAAGGACAAATACAAATTTTTTCCTTGAAAAGTCCAACAAATATCACTATTATCAAAATATTAAACTTTAAAATAATATAACTTTTGATCTAGATGTTGGTTTTTAATAAAATTAATATTTTTAGAATTTTCTCATCAAGATCTATCAAATAAATAAGATTCATGTTGACTATGAAATTCTTTAAAAAAAAAAAAAATTATTACCCTTGAAATTAATGTAAACAGTAACATGTTACTCTATTTGACAATTATATGTTACTCTGTCTCACAGTAACATGTTACTCTATTTGACATTAATATATTACTCTGATTCACAGTTACATGTTATTTTGGCAATCCAAGGGGGAAAAAAAAAAAATTTGTCCTTACTCAATTATGTATTCTTTTCTTAAGGGGTTTATGAAGAAAAATAAATTGGGCTGTCATTTTCACCAAATAAAGGTCTAATAGAGGAGTTTTGACTAAATTTCCCAAAATTTTAATCACCTGTTGGACCAGTACACATGCAAGCACTATTTATGACAAGCACATAACTATTTTTTCCTCAGAAGTAGAGATAATACCTGATGTGGAGGCAAAACCGGTTTAAAGGCCCCATCTGGATAATATCCAAACCAGGCGGTTTCTTTTGGTATCAAAACAGTGTCATGTTGAAACTGTTGATATGCAGAGAAAGGATGGAGAACTAATAAGAGCATTCTTCAACAGACAAAACATGCAAATTGCACAAAAAAATGAAAAAAGAGAAAGGGATATAAACTATGCCACCTCACCATGATAAGCACCAGGTTCTGTAAACTACTGAACCGTTTCTTGTAAGTGGCATTTCTCTCTTCAGGGATTTCATTGTTCAGCTTTGGCAGAAATCTACATTTCTCTAAATATGCAGGAATATTCTGGAAAATAGAATTTGATTCAGACCTCAAGCAATTAAAAGTGAAGAGAAAGTACTTTGACAAAATGAATATATTAAAATTGTGTTTCCCACCTACAAGACTGAAAATGTAACACCGAGGGAGAACTTCAATCTAAATTTTAGTTATACATGGTTGGATACCACCACCACAAATGACAATGACAGATAAATTTTGTTTATACCCAAAACAGTGTAGAAGGAGGAGCTATTGAATTCTACTTGGTTATATGATTTTGAGACTTCCTAAAACATGACGTCATTTGATATAACAGTTCTTTTAAGCCATCCCAGGTACACTACAGGGTAACCCAGGCACCAATTGATTAAAACATCAAAATAACAAACAACATGATATAAATTCTTGAACGGTGATCTTGTTCTATAACAAAATTTGTTAAAAATTTGGTTTTTATGTTTAGTCTTGCAATGAACAAACTACAAAGTACTGTCTGGAATGGTCTAGATTGATAATGTATAACTTTATGCGTGTCCAAAATGAAAATAAGGAATAGCGAGTGGTATATGAACTAAAGGACCAGATGGAGGATTGCAAAATTATTAATAGTTTCAAAAGTCAAAGAGTGAAGTGGGGTCAATATAATAATAGAATATCAAGCATATGGGATTGAACAATAGACAATGGGGTTACTATAATATTATAGACAGAAATTGATGATAAAAGATGGAAACGATCATTCAAAAACATAAAAAATCATGCAATGAGAATCTGGAAAATGCATTGATATTTTATTCAAAACAAACCTACCAAACTATCTTAGATGGACTTGGGTATGTATCTAGAGGTTGGAACCCATCAAACCTCATATTTAAGAATACATGTACTTGGCAAAAAATGGTCATATTTTTATATTTTTAATCTATTATGTGAAATAAAATGATGTCATATGTAACATACAGTGTCAAAAAGACATTTTATTCATTTTACAGTAATATATACATATAATGATAGTGTTAAATACAAATATATAAATGTCCAATGAAAAGTATCGGACACATATCTTACCCCTTTATCCAAATGTCGGGTGTCCGACAAGAGTATTTGGTTTATTTTAAAGTGTCCATGTAACTTAGTTAGTGGGCCTTCCAACCACCATCTCTAAACATACACATAACATCTGTAGATAGAGAATAAAGATTACTCACATTTGGTAGTTTAAGGTAACCACTAGGGGCCAAGTGAGCCTGCCATCCACAAATTAAAATCCAGCGCACTAAGTCTCATTAGAGAACATAATAAGATTTAAAATTGACAAGAAGTGAAGAGAAGCATACAACCAATCTTCTCTTCAGAAGTTCACATGTAAGAAAGTTTTCCAACACTAGTAAAGTTGTATAACTGAATCAAGTTCGAGAGATGTATACTTGGATATAGTCACTGTAGACCTCTGATTTCATTAGGCTGTTTGCCAAAATGCAAAAAAGGCCAGACTGCAAAAGCAAAAAATTAGGTTTCAAATAAAAAAATATTACAATGTTATAACGTTTATTTGAATCCAAACCGATGACAGGCTTATTTATTTGATTTTGAGTTATAGAACTCTAGGATTTAGTTACACTCTTCCGCCAAAGAGATTTAAAGTTCCCATGAGATGTGCTGTCTGCCCCAAAAGTTTGAATTGAAATTTAAAAGAGAATAATAAGACACTCACCCTTAGAACTATTTCTTTTTATATAGATAAATAAACTTCAAATGGTGCCATACCCTCTTCATATCCTGTTCTTTCTCAGCAAAATTGGGATAATCATAATATGCCATCCCCTACTTGTACTAGAATCCATCAAGTTACAGATAAATCTCTAACTTATTACTCCCTTCCTACATTGCCCTATAACCTCTCCACACTTCATATCTGAAGGAATTTTAAATATTGTTGAGTTTGATGCAATAATAACAAAGAGATTATAACCGCACTTACACCACAAAGAGGAACAGAAGCAGTACCAGCATGAGGTCCTCCTAATGAGATAAAATTTTTTACCTGTTCCATAAAAGGGAGAAAATTGTCATTGTCAAAGACTCGGGGGTTCAGGAAAGAAAGATGTATTAAACTACATTACAAAACAAATGTGCCATTGCACTGACCATTTGACTCCTTATGTCATTAGAGATAGTTTAAAACCACAATTAGAAGGGAAAATGTGACCCTAGAAAGCAACCAGTAAATGTCAAATGTGCTTATTTGCTAGAGCCAGATGTTAAAATCTTACTGGAGATGGGGAAAAAGAAAAAGAAGAAACTATGCAACAATAGTAGAGCAACTGACTGTTGAAACTTGAGAATTCCAGCAAGACAATAAGATGAAGCTGCTTGCCCTCTCCTTCACCATACTTGCAGCCTAAGTCAATGGCTTGTGAAAAGGTCAGATGCAGAACTAAGGTGCTTCTAGTTTTCATTGGATTCAATGGATGCATGTCTTCCAATTGAGGAAGTTTAACTGCAGCTAAGTTGAAATTAAGTGAAGAAGAGATTTGATGAGACAATTGAGTGGAAGGATGAGATTAAAGAGGAAAACAACGGGAGGAAATTGCAAATTCACGTGAACCTCTCGTATTTTCCATCTTCCTTACAATAGACATCCCTCTCCTCCAAGATCTAACACCTCTTGTGCCGACTCACTGCTTGAACTCCTCCTTGAAACACTTATTCAGTGTTCGTTCACTAATGAACTTTACCAGTTGACATATCACATTAGCCAAACAAAAATATGCCTTTAAATTATATATGTGCATGTTGTCAGCATTTGATTTTTTTTTTTTTCTTTTTCTTGGGGAACAAATATTCCTATGTTACCTAAAATGTGGATCGTTCCGGTACATGGAACGGGGCACGCCATATGCTCTAAAATGTGATACGATAGGAGTAGGCTTATATATATTACACTTAAGAATCTAAGGTACTTCTAGAGTAATTTTCTTTTAACTATTAGGTATCAATTTATTTATTTATTTTCATGTAGCAAATCATTTCTATGAAAATTATGACCCATTGTTGATTTTTTTCTCTGGTCAAAACTTAACTCACCTTAGATTTTAGTTCATATACTTGTTTTTTTCCCTCTCCTAAGGTAACATTTAAAAAAATATATTGGAAAAAAACTTTTGGTATCGTTTCGGATCACTAAATTTACCGTTTTGGAAGAAAGTGTACAATGTTTCGGAACGTGATACATAAATTGCTAAGGTATCAGTGTTTTCTGGTAACATAGAAATTTTCACTCAATGATAGATGTTGTCTGTGCATGTTGTCACCTACCCATATCATTACACCAACCCTTGACACGGCACAAAATTAGGCCTATTGTGAATAGATGCGACAAAGTTTGCCTCCATTGTTCAGTTTGGCCAACTTTTTACAGATTTTAACGAGATGCTGCCCTTGAAATAGGATAGATGAAGAAGGGAAAGACAACAAGATCGGGCAATCAACATCAAGAAGAGCTTCTATGTAAATTAATAAATCTATTTAGTTGAAGAACATGTCCAATCTAAGTAACCAGCCAACTATCATAAAGAACTTGATCTCATTCGTAATGCCACTTGAACCACAGCTCATGTAAAATAGCTAAATGCGTGTATGTACATAACAAATAAAACAGTATTTTCCAATCAAATGACAATTCATATAATGACAAACTCAAAATTCATTGTGGAGAGAAACCAATAAAATAGCAAAATTCTTATTAAGCCGGTTCTTACAGGGGGTGCTCCATCACAAAACTCTACTACACCTCGACCTATTAGGTTACCCTGTCAACCAAAGAAAACAATTTAGAACGTTAGCACCACTGAAGTTGCCAGAGCATCAGCATTTAGATGAATATTGAAAATGATTAATTCATTATAATAAGCATAAAAAAAATTAAAACAGAAAATTGAGAAAAACAGATTATATGAACAATTGTTTTAGCCGGACAAGATCTGAGAATAATTAGTTTTCCTTAAGAACCAAAGTTTAAAATGGAATTAGTTAAAAGTCACGAGAACTATGCATTTATGTGAGAAGAAACCCTCCCATCCCAATAATATTATTCACCCTTAACCAGCTCCATCTCAAGAATTCACTGTGAATACTGTTTAGTGTTGTATAATTGCATTTACCAAATTTAAGAGGTGAAGTTAGGAACAGAAAACAGATATTGGTTATGCTATAATGTATTTTGAAGCATTTTCACGTTGTGGTGCAGTAAATGCATATGGATAGCAACATCTTGAGGGCCCTCAAATATTTTGATTAAAAAAAATAAAATCACCAAGTTAATCAGTGGCTTCAAGAAAATTACAAAACAGTAGGAAAAAAAAAAACCTTGCCGACAGGTGTTTGAACTTACCAACTACACGTTATACTACATTTAAACATTTTTATCAGTTTCTTTTATTGAAATTTAATTGTGTGATCATCATGAATTGTTTGTCCTCGTAGACTTAAAAGTACATAATTGGGTTAAGGATAAGGAATATTAGGCAATAAAGGTTTTGAAATCCTAAACAGAGAATTTTGGCATTTTTCTATTAACTGACCAGGCTAATGTATCTTCTATTAACAATAATACACACCAAGATAATTATCCCTCGAGCACTGGAAACCATATGGAAAACTCTTCAAAAAGCAAAAGAAGGTAGAAAATCATAGACATAAAGGAGATGGACTATTTGAGCTGGTGATAATTCCATACCTGAAAAATACATGGAATTACCTCTCTGAACCTTGTATTGAGCCACATAATAGCACAGTAACGTCATTTAAAAGAGTTAAACTTTGCCAAATGCTTGTTTAATTATTTTAACCCACTAAACTAAATAGTGATATAGCCTTGACAGTTTCTGGATATAATTATCCATCATGTTAGAGGTTGATCAATGCCACCTTCTCCTATCCTTTAATCATTTTATCTTCATTTCTATTGATATCAAAATTGCAATTTTCCTCTAGTACAGTATATGCAGCCACTAAAGACATTCTCCTGACTAGTAAAGAAAAACATTTATAAATGCATGTAGCAATACAAATGCACTGCAAAAAATAGAAATAATCCAATCCTCATTGATCACCTGGGAGAGACCAACTATGTTGAAACCCTTGCTGAGTTCTTTCATTTTCTTCACCTGTCGATTTGATTATGAAGTAGTCACTAGGCAAAATCAAACTTAGAAAACAAAACAATGGAACCACCGAAGGTGGCCATGGAGATACACCACCTTGTCACAAACTTCTTCAGCCTGTAAATATTAAGCACAGTACAAATTAAAACTTGACTACAAATAACAACACTTCTAGATGACGAGCCAAATAACATTATTATGCTAGGTCCTACCTGTTCCTGTAGGGGCATAAACCAAGAATCCCATGAGCCGTCTCCAATTTCTCTACAGCAGGGGAAGAAGCGAACAGACATCAGTATTTCAGCAAACTATAATGGGTCACATATACATATAAATCACAGTTCAGCTTGACTATGAGTTGTTTCCCTATTATTCACATCAGTAGACATAAACTTCCAAAGCATACAGCACAGGAATCAAAAACAAAGCCAGAAACCAATCCATAACCCCCAGTTATGTTACTTACCAATGGCAAAATTCAAAACTAACCTATAAAAGAAATAAGGTGAATTTCTGAATCTCTTAATACTTCAGTTGCTGAAATTATAATGGCCTTCCTTTCCAAACTGGAAATCATTAATATGGCTTAGCTTGTAAAGTGGGTTCTCCATCCTAATATAAATCAGATTCAATTGACTAGAGTCATGTTCCATTCTGTTTCCTATTAAGGCCAAGTTTGGCATGAGACAAAAAAGATAAAAAGTCAAAAAGTCACTATCCTATTTAAGTCACATCATCTTATTTAAGTCACATCACTTCTCTAACACATCACTTCAAACTCAACCCAAACCCAACCCATATTTCATAAAAAGTCAAAAAGTGCACTTATTTAGTCTTCCCAAACTAGGCCTAAATGTTCTTAAGATCATAAAATATCATTGATCTACAATTAATTATTTTAAGAACTTTTATGGTATATCTTTCTTTTTAAACCACAATGAATCTGATGGGGAATGACAAGGCATACAGACAATATGATTGCAATCGGTTTAGATAACTTGACACAAGATCACTATGCAATCACAAGAAGAATTATATACAGGGAGACATAAAACAAGAAGTCATCTGAAACTACAAAATCATACATGCAGTATCCTTCAGATTTTGACCACTTGCTCAGTTGCTCAGTGAACCGTTTAACTCCTCGGTTGGAGCATTGATCTCCTATTCCTGCCATAACAAGTATACTTCAAAAGCAATGAAATTAAAGGAAATAAATATACTTCTTTTACCTAAAAGAGTAAAAAAATAAAAATAAAAAAGAGAAGAAAAAATACCAAAGCCTGTAAAAAAAATCTGCAATCCCAAAAGCCCAAAAAGATATCACTAAAATCCAGAAAAATCCAAGTATAACAATCATATATCTAATATCTTTACAAGCCATTAGAATATATTAAAATTTGAGTGACTAAAGAGACATGGAACACATTAGTCTTGCCCAAAAAATTTGCATAAGAATGAGGCTCCAGCCCTCCTCCTGCGATGCATTTCTCTCAAAACAATGCAGGAAGCATGTAGTGAGGTCTAAAATCATAGGAAAAAAAGAAGAAATTGGAAAAAAAATGTAACTAAAAAAAATTCTGCACTATAATGTATTTTCTTGCAGGAAAATTCTGCATAAGAATGAGACTGCTATCCTGCGTCGTGAGGCCTTCTACTATGATCTCAGTTTCACTGCAAGGTCAATCAAGTCTAAATTCTCTCTGTGCACTAGTTGCTGTGAGTTCCTTAAACCAATGACACAACAACAAATTTTTTTTTTGGTTGACAATATCAGCTCCTCAATTGAGCTGCCTACCACTACCTAATCTTTTTGTAAGCAGGAGGACTGAGTATGACCTCTTTATTAGCTCCTCAATTCATGCTTTGATGTTGTAATTCTCACATACTTCACATAACTGATCCACTACTACGTAAACAATCAATTACGAAAAATTTAAATCACTAATTTAAATGTTAAGCCTGCTATCTAATTTTCACAAGTAGAATTTGAAACCTCTTAATTATTGTCATACAAAGGCTCAAACCTATTGTTCATATATATATATATATATTCCTCCATAATTGAATATCACGTTGAATACATACTATAATTGAGAGAATTCATTACTAACTGGTATCTAATTTACACAAGTCAAATTCAAAACCTCTTCATTGTTGTCAATACCAGGACTCAAACTTATTGTGTACCTATATATATATAGCATATACTACCACGATAACTGGATTGAACGATAACATTGAATACATACATGATACAAAAAAATGGAGAGAATTCATTACTAATAAACCACAAGCTTAAATTAGAACATCGATTGCTTAAGATAGACGCATCAGCTCATCAATAGATCAATCGAAGTACATAACAACACAATCCAAATGAAAAATTACATTTATGCATAAGCAAACACACACACACACACACACACTTGTGTGTATAGATTACCGTGTAGAACGATGAAGGGAAGGGAGGAGGAGATTGAGACGAGAGTGAAGGCGATGGCGATTATGATGACTGGTGATGATGAGCGAAGAGCCATGAATGTTCCAGAAAATTAGGGCTTTGGAGTCGTGAAAATAATAGGATCTCTCTCTCTCACTCTCTCTCTCTCTCACTCTCTCTGTATCTGTCTCTCCAGGAAGAGGACGCACTGGGTGGGTCGGATGAGCTACTGCATTTTTTTTTTTTTTTTGAAGTCCTCTCTCTGAGTTTGGTAGGTTGTTAAAAACGTCCAAAAGCAGATAGGGGTGAAATTCGGGCCCAGATCCTCCGGAGTCGGGGCCTGAGATGGTGTTATAGTAGGAATAAGGATCCCTACCTTGCACTTCCCCTTGCTTTTTCTACTGTACGGTTGTTATAGTAGGAATAAGGATCCCTACCTTGCATTTCCCCTTGCATTTTCTACTGTACGGTTATTGGATTTATTTTTGGTCTAATTTTAATAATCTAAATTATTTATATTTTAAGATTTGTTTAGTATATCATACTTATAAAAAATTAAATTGATCGAGTTGAAAACTAATTTGAAAATACAACCAAAAAAAAACCCCCCTTTTTTTTTCCTTTTTTTTTTTTTTTTTTGAAGTCCTCTCTCTGAGTTTGGTAGGTTGTTAAAAACGTCCAAAAGCAGATAGGGGTGAAATTCGGGCCCAGATCCTCCGGAGTCGGGGCCTGAGATGGTGTTATAGTAGGAATAAGGATCCCTACCTTGCACTTCCCCTTGCATTTTCTACTGTACGGTTGTTATAGTAGGAATAAGGATCCCTACCTTGCATTTCCCCTGGCATTTTCTACTGTACGGTTATTGGATTTTTTTTGGGTTAATTTTAATAATATAAATCATTTATATTTTAAGATTTGTTAAGTATATCATACTTATAAAAAATTAAATTGATCGGATATCAGAAAGCATATGTTCAAAAAACTCGAACTAAAAACTATTTTTTAAAAAAAATTAATAAACAATTTTCCGAACACATACTTTCTGATATCCGATCAACTTAATTTTTTACAAGTATGATATACTGAATAAATCTTAAAATATAAATGATTTGAATTATTAAAATTGGACCTAAAAGTGAGCTCAATAATCGTGTAAGTAGGAAATATAATGAGGGGATCTTGATTCGTTATAGTAAGTGTCTCAAAAGTAAAAATTTGAATTCATATTTTTAATATTAGACACAATTTACTTCAATTTAAAAAGTTTATAATCAGCTTAATAAAATGTTTGCCTTACTAATTGTACGTATTATGGCTCAGCTGGAAAAGAATGAAACCTTTCCAAATTGAAACCCGCGTTAAGGCTAGGGGTGCAACTTGGACAAGTTCAACACGAGTAACTTGAATCTAGTTTAAATTTTTTTAAGACTTGGACAACATATTTTTAAATTCGATATGAGCTTAGGTAAAGACGTCAAATAATCCGAACAACTCAAAACCCAAATTATACATATATGGATATATAAAAATATTAAATATACATATAAATTATTAGCCATTACATGATATTAAAGTAATTTAGATTATTAAATCATATTGAATATATATTATATATACAAATAACATAAAATCTTTTTTTTTTATTATTTTCACTTATAAATTGTAAAGATTACTATAGTCACATTTCTCTTATATTATATAAATTATTTATTTTGATGGTATTAATAATTTTCTATAAATAAAAAAATGTAAATAGAGTTAAATTTTAATAATTTCATAATGCAGCTGCAAAAGAAAGAAGAAGAAAAAGAAAAAAAAAAAATTGAAATTCATGTATAATTTGGATAAATTCAAACAATTCGGATTTAACTCGGGTCGGACTTGAGTAGATAATTTCGAATTACAATTCAGACTTGAGCAAGCCCTAAACAAATCCCAGCACAACTTGAACTGGTCTTAGACAACCCCTACCTCACTCAAACCCGCCCAAGTGCACCGCTGCTTCAGGCTTTATCAAGTTACTACGACCGCTTGAGTTAGTTTGGTAGGTTGTTGGTTGCTTATTCTTCTAAGTTTGGGTTTTGTGATAGCCAATGAGAACTGGACATTTATATCGGTAAGGGTGTGTTTGAGTAGAGGGATAAAAGTGGAGATTATTGTGCGGATTATAATTTGGGAGAAACATTCAATTTGGCGTTTGTTTTTTTTTTAGTCCGCCGGATATGGAGTTCGGCCAGACTCTTTATACCCTATATGGGAGACTATTGTATCTTAGGGGGCGTGAGACAATTTTCGAGAGACTATTCAATGTTATAATTAGGTGATGAAATAACTATTTTGACCCTTTACTATTCAATTATGTATTATATTTAGTAAAATTTAATAAAATTTAAATTTCTCAATTTAAAAATAAAATAATTTTATTTAACTTTTTATTGATATTTTATTTATTTATTTTTTTAAAATAATTTTTTATAGATATTTTATTCATGTTTTATTTTAAAATTTTGTTTATAATTTATTTAATTTCATTATTTAAATTTTAATAGATGTTTTATTTTATTATTATTATTTTTAAAAATAAATTTATTTAAAATTTTAATTAAAAATAACACATATTTTTATTGATATTTTATTTATTTTATTTTTAAAAAATAAATTTATTTAATTATGTAAAAAATAAAATAAAATAAAATTTTATTTAATCTAATTAAAAATAATTAAAATATTAAAGATATGTTTAATATTGTTATTACTTAGTGGGTGTTTGGAAAGTGAGTTTTTTTGTAGTTTTTTTAGATGTAGAATATTATTAGAATTTTTTTTTTTTGTATTTAGAAAGATAGTTTGGTTTATTTGTGGTTGGATTGGATGTGATATTTGTGAGAGAAAAAGTGAAATGATTATGGGGTTTGATGTGATATTTTGTTTGGATTTGTTTTTTTATTTTTTTTGTTTTGTTTTGTAACCAATTTGTTTTTTAGTGAAAAAAAACAAAAAACAAAAAAAATCAAAAAACCATGTTCCCAAACAGCGCCTTAGTAAACAATTGAAAAATGATAAAATAGTCGAGTAATGCTAGAGACCCCAATTATTCTACCAAAAGTTTTACCAAATGTCTCACATGGGTGTAGGACCCACACAATGTGGGTCCCATGTGGGTCCCACACCCATGTGAGACATTTGGTAAAATATTTGGTAGAATTTTTGGGGTCTCTAGCATTTTTGAAAATAGTCTTTTGTTCATTTATCCTATTTAGTCCATCCAACCAAAAATTAAATTCACTAAAAATAATTTTTTACAGACATCTAATTTCATGAAAAAACGAATACGGAATACACATCCAATCCAATCAAATAGTCTGTAAAATTCACAATCTCAAAATTTAAATCCGATGAATTATAATATCCCCTTATCCAATTTGTCTGATCAAACACAGCCTAATTGTTTTTAATCCTCGGCGTCACCTGCATCAAGTGTTATTCCACGCCATTCAGCGCAAGGCCAACGCGTAAGACTGTTTGTTTGGATTATGCATTTTGGCAGGCATTTAGCATAGAAAAATTAAAAATATATATATTTATATTTATCTTTTTATTTTTATTTTTTTTAGAAAATAGCGTAAATGTCTTTTTTGGGAGAATATCAAAATAAAAAAAAATAATGAGTATAAAAAAATAATTATAAATTCATAAAAATACAACATTTATTTATACAAATTTAACGTACACATCACTTGTATTTTTATGAATTTGATGATATTTTTCTATTTTTTGCTTTTTAAAATTTTTATTTATTTTTTACACTATCTTTCTCTTAGATTTGAAAAAAAAATGAGTAAAATTTATAAATTTGATATAATTATATTGAACTCTATTAAGATTTTAATTCCCATAATATTTAACTTATTTTTTATTAATAATTCTGTAAAAAAAATTAAAAATTGTATTTTGAAAATGTTGCTAAAAAATAATTTTAAAAACTTGGGTTTGATAAATAACTTTTATTTCATGGGTTGATTGGTCTATATATGAATGACCAAGTTTAGATAATCGTTGCAACTAATTACATAAACTTTTTATTTATGATTGATTGATTAATTTTAGGGGAATCGTTGGTTTGGACGGAGAGCTAAGTACTCAATAGGAAACATATGATAAAATTTTTTATATACTTCATACAAAAATCAAAAAAATTGAGAAATGTACAAAATTTAAATTTCTAATGCCACTACTATTTTTATTTGAAACGCAACCCAAACTTGCCCATGTTTGATTGGAAGGATTAGAGAATGGGATTGAGATTATTAATTCGCGGGTCCAATTATTCTATGTTTGTTTTGACATTTTATTTTAGGATTATCAATCCAATGGATAATTAATCTAACAAATTTATAGGATTATTAGTAATGGGGTAGGGGTGAGATTGTGAATACCACACTAATTTGATTGGATTATTAATACCTCACTATTAGTCTTGTGGAATCAAACATGGCCTAAAGGTGCAGAGCTCAAGGTCTACTTCTAATTAGATGAGAGGGTAATTTATATGAAAATTGGGCTGAGCTAGGTAAATGGGCTGTTATGGGCTGCAGTACGAAGGGCCGAGTAGAATGGCCGTATAAGTTACTCCGGTCTTGTGGATGTTTTGGAGTTAGTCCGGTCTGAAAGAAGATTGAAGTTACTGGCCTAGAGATGCTTTGGAGTTAGACCGGTCCTAGAGTTGAACCGGTCTTGACATGTTAGTTCGGTCTAACTATACCATGAGTTGTACATGAGAAGCCGAAGTAAGAATAGTATAGGGAAGAGCCGAATTGAGGATAGTTCGGCCAATTCTGCGGCTAAGCAGAGTCGTGTTTACTTTGGTCGTGTGGTAGTTCGGCCATGGTAAAACCATCTCACTTGGTTTAAGCAGTGAGGGGGGTGTTGAGAGATGAGCATTATCCTTCAGGAGTATGAATCCTAGAAGGACTCTGCATGGAGAAATAAGAGTCCTACCTGGATTGTGCCATTCGAAATCTATAAAAGCTCACAAACATCACCTTTGGAGAAGTAACACACAACTTTACTTTCTGAATACTCAGAGTTTTGTCTATTTGTCAAGCTTACTGACTTAGGCATCGGAGAGGTTTCCGGCACACACCCGCCGGCTAGCTCACGTTTGTGTTTTCAGATGATAAAGCGACGACTTACGAAGGAGAGTGAACTTGGTTATACGAGAAGGTTTATTTCTTTCCCGTACACTAGATACATATAGCCTATCACCATTTTATAGAACTACACCACGACTTCACATTTTGTGTGTGTGTGTGGTTTTTTTTTTTTTAAAAATTTATATGTTTGTACTACCATTGTTTTAGCCTCTCTAGATCTCACCA